TTATTTACATATTTTCCATGTATTAATCATTCATTTTGGATATATATATCGATGAAATTTTTTATTGGCTATTTAGTTCTTAATTTTTGAAAGAAATTTGATGTTTTCTGCTTTCCCTTTGATATCATAACTTGTCTTAGATAGAGTATGGCACAGATGGGCAAATATTAGGGTTTAGTCACTTAATTTGAAGAAATTTTGATAGCCATCAACATTGGAGTTGCATTTTTCTATTGTTTTTTATTCTTTATCATGAATTTTGAAATCAGTTATGTTACTAATTTATTGTAAATAAATTCATATAAGATTAAGTGTTTATCACAACATGACTTAGTGACCATTCCTTTTGTGAGAATATGTTTAGACATAAAAGTTTTAGAATCTATTCTTAGGCGCTACTCTCACTATCCCTAACAATTCCCCTAAGTTAAAAAGAAAAAAAAAATCACATAAGATCAACCATACTTCACTAATTCAATTTTTTTTTTACAGCATGTTGATTTCAAGAATCACTTCCAATGAGCACTTACCATAGCATGAATTAATTAAGTCTTAATTCTCAACATCAAATGACTTAGAAAGGCTATATATTCACTTTGTATTAAAATCATGAGATCAGTAGTGAAAAAAGAATGAATCCCATATCAAGAATAAAGCAATATTAAGATTTATAAACCTTTTTAAAATTTGAAATATACATGGAGAATCATGGTAGGGTTAGCAGTTACTTGTGACCGAGTAGTCATGAAAGGATTCATCAAGGAGAGGATGAAGACTGAGAAGAAACAATAAGCAAAATTTATGGGAATATATTCTTCTGGTGAAGTTATAACTGATGTAGAAGTGCTGCGTGGAACAATGCTCTATTGAAGCATGGCTCGTGAGTCACAACCTTCAATAGAAAACTCATAAATGAACAAATGCTGCATGAAGCACTGTGTTGTGTTGGAATATGTATGCATTATAAAAGTTACTAAAATACAAATATGTCCATGCTCAAAGTACATATGCATGTAGGAGTAGAGGAAAATACTATAGTTCCATTTCCATACATAAAACTAGCATGTAGTACTTGATGGTAAGCAGCAACATATGCACTAGAAT